CCATTTATTTTAATTTCCTATTCTGTTGTGTGCGTATGTGTGTATTTTCTTATGCATTGATGTAATAGTTGGCTAATTGCTTTTTGGTCAGTAAGTTAGTTTTTGTGTATTTAGTTATTTGTGACAATCTGTAATAGAATAAGTAAGGTACTGTAGCTACGCGCTGCATGTAAGAAACTATGATGTTATTACAACTTAAAAATTGCAAGTAAAATGTTCGTTATATGAATGTATTTTTCTGTTCTTTGGTGACAATGAATTTGTTTTTAATTAATTGAGGGCACTTTGGTTAAAGTGCGCTTTCAATTAATTCAGGGCACTTTGGTAAAAGTGTGCTTTTTAATTAATTCAGGGCACTGTTTAATGTGTGCTTTTTAATTAATTTAGGGTACTTTGATTAATGTATGCTTTTTTCCTGTTTTTAACTTACTTAGAATATTATGTTTTTTTTGTGTGTCAAAGATTAGTTTTGTTTTACTCTAATAAAGATTGTTGCAATTAAGATTGAAAAGTATATTAAGGTATGCCAGAAATGCATCTCTTAATTGTATGTTTTCTCTTTGATTTTAGTGATTGTATGCAACCAATGTAAGTAAATTGCTATTGATTTGTATAGGTACTTTTATACTATGTTTTGAGTGCTTCTGGTGCAATGTTTACCTACTTACTCAATGTATAGAATGGAAAAATGGATATAACGATTTTTTTTGGTCGATATCGGCTGTGACGTTTGTTTGTTGTTAAGGTGCACAATTGGCTATCTGTGTTGTGCCCACTGCGAGAGTCGAAACCTGATTTTGAGTGTCATGAGCTCTCAGACTTACCGCTGATCCACCGGGGGAGGGGAGCAGACAGTTATGTCTATTATTTGAATTATGATTTGTGGAATAAGGCATCGGCAGATGAATATTGTTCAGTTTTGAGTCATCACAGTTTTTGTATTGTTACGTTGTGCTATTCATATTATATGCTTCCAAGTGTTTGTCACAGAAGGGCTGATGCCTTCTGGGGGAATTGTAGATACCATCACTCACAGCTGTTGACATCATGGTCAAGGCAAACCTCTTGACCAGTGTTGGAGCCACTACTAATTCAGGCTCCCAGCTCCTCCCCTCAGCAATGTCGAAAGACCATTTTCTGTATGACTGTTTAGTAGCCAATTGCTCCTAATGAGTGTTTGTTTGTTTGTAGTTAAGCACAGAACTACACAATGGGCTATCTGTGCTCTGCCCACCAGGGGTATCGAAAAACGGTTTCTAGCATTATAAGTCCGCAGAGATATCGTTGTGCCACTGGGGGGGGGGGGCGTTGTCCTAATGAACATATTTTGATTGTTTATGTTACCATAAATGAAACAGACTGACGTACGATATAAAAAAGTATGAGAATGATCTGAGCACGATTGATTATTATTTTGGTACTATGTCTGCTGCTGTAGTTCTCCTGCATCAAAGATATTGTATCAGAGAGAGACTTCTGCCTGTTGACCAGTTGACAGTTATACATTTATTTACATTAAAGATCAAAGAATAAGATTTTATGGCATTGCCACTTAAATGTTAAATTATCAGTGGTCTAGTGTATTATTACTAATCATCGTGAAATAAGTTAATTAAAATTTACTTCAAACCATGAAAACAACAAAATTGCATAGAATAACAAGTGAAAATAAAGGTAAATGCATAGAAGAAGGATATACTGACTTATGTATAGCTTTACATTTGGTAGTGTAGACATGACAGCACACCATATTTGTTTCAAATGTTCCAGGCTTTGCTTGCAAACTACTTTAAACAGTTTTTGGTTAGTATAGCCAATTTTCCTGTAAGAAGGAACAGCAGTTTATTGATACATTTATTTTGACTGTTAAAAAATCAAAACTGAAACATGGGAGTGCTGATTTTTGTGTAGCGATTTATAATGTGCAAAAAATATTAGGAACTAAAACATTTTAATCAATTGGCTTCGATGTTTTGTTGTGAATAACTAACAAAATCAGTATATTATGATGTCTCTATTCTATATCTTACGCTTTATTTGCAATGAAAAATCATTCTCTGAGTTTGGAATCTCACTTTTGACACCGCCGATAGCTTTTTTTTTTTAACTCTGCCCCAGTTATTTATTACACAGTCATGTTTTGAATAGTTATGGACACTAGCTCCACCTGCGCAAGAGTTTTTGACTATGGGACTGTTGTGGATGGCGGATATATTTGAGCTGTTAATCTTTAGAATAAATTATTACAAAATTGTATCCGGCTTAATGCCATTTATCATTTCTGCTTTGAACAATAAACCTGAAAATGTCATATCCAGAAAAGCGAATAAAATGTATTATATCACTTATATTCTGCTAGAGAAATGCATAGTCACTAGTAAATTCCTTATGTACTTAAACGAACTATTTAAGAAATCGTTTAGAGAACTTCAGATAGTTTGCCTATCTGGTCGTACAAAGAGGGCACTTGAAGCTTTGTCAATTAACACAGGCCGCCTACACTTATCAGTATGTGTATACTGTTAAAACGGTTTAAAATTAGTCAGTGTTTAGTATATTGTTGCTTATATTTTATATTTATTTTTTGCTCATTAATCAAATCATTCTAAGTGTTATGTGATAACAACCGAAATATTGGCACTTCTTCAGTGGCAACTGTGACTCTTTACTATGTTCTCTGGCGCCTTTTTTATTTTAATCAAAGGAGTAATTACTGTATTTTACATGAATTTGGGTACTGTAAGCTAACTATGTCTGTTGCTGCGTTGTTTCTTTACTTTAGAAAGTGGCCCGGCATGGCCAGGTGGTTAAGGCACTCGACTCGCAATCTGAGGGTCGCGGGTTCGAATCCCCGTCACACCAAACATGCTCGCCCTTTCAGCCGTGGGGGCGTTATAATGTGACGGTCAATCCCACTATT